GTTAAAATTGGTCCAAAACGCATGGTTAGTGTTTTGAACTGGTATATTGGACTTACATCCAGATTAATATTTTCATTTATTAAAAGATACTCGATGATGCCACCTTGCATCAAGAGATTATTCTGTTTCGGTTGTGCTGTAATTATAGCATTTTTTTATCTTCAGTTATCTGGATAATATATCTAACTTAGGCCTACTGAGTATTGAAGCCATTAATTAAGGTGAAAACTCTAAATCTCTTATGGGGATTTGGCCGCAGTGTCTTCATTTTTTTTATTTTTTTTGAATATATTAAGGAAAGTGCAAATTAGTTACATAATCTGAGGTTACCAAACCCCATCTCATCCCTTCTAAGAAGAGGTATACATCCATGAGGAGGTTGTTCTAAAATACAGAGATTCCAATCTTCATGATCGTGCTCAAAACCTGCGAGCCAGTCTGCCACCATATTGCCTTCTCTGAGAGAGTGCGTAATGATGGCCTCCCAAGGGCCTATCAAGCATCTTCTAATTCTAGAAACAAGAGCAGCTAGAGGGTGATGGGAGTTGCAGCCGGACGAAACAAGGTTAACAGCAACGCTGGAGTCACTCTCAAACCACACCTGTCTGAATCCTGCATTCCACGCCAATTCCACCCCATGAGCCAGTCCCCAGAGCTCGGCACAAAGAGTTGTGCCACTTCCTGTCTTTCTATGGAAGCCCAGCAGCCAATGACCAGAATCGTTGCGGATAGCACCCCCACAGCTAGAGAGTAAGCCTCCATTCCTGCTGGACCCATCTACATTTACCTTGACCCACCCAGGTCTGGGAGCTTTCCAATAGATTATCTGGTCCTGTCTATCACATGGCCGCAAACCACCTATTGACAGCTTAGCCTTAGCATTCACCCAGCTCCTTGCGTAATCTGCAGCCTTCCTGATAATGGTTTCAGGTGAAAAGATCTCTCCCTCAAAGATGAATTTATTTCGAGCATTCCAAATGTGCCAGCACAGTATCCTAAACATGACCTTCCACCTAATGCCCTGAGACCCCATATGCATCACTGGGCTGAGGTTAACGTCGATCCATTCGGCAGAATTGAGTCGAAAAAATTCTCTACTCAGCGTGGCCGGGACCATGCTATCCCATATCCTCTTGCTACCCGCACAGTCCCTTAGTACGTGAATGCAGTCTTCATTGTCGTCGTCGCACCTTGGGCAAGCAGCAGAGCTAGCAATATGCCGATCTATCCTACTAGCATTTGTTAACAGATTATTGCCTTTCAGTTTCAGTCAACGTATAACATACACAGATAAATATTTCACTTATAAACTTTTTATTTACAAACTATACTAAATATGACCGGTCATATTTTAATCAAAAATGTATGACCGGTCAGACTTAATGTAATTTGTAAAAAAAAATTACAAACGAATACTTCTCCTATTATATTTATTGCTAATACCCACTCGACAACAGAGTGTCTTGCAGGTGCACATTTCCCTTTTTCCACTGCAGATGGTGAAATGTGTAGCTATCACCACCAGTACTACATCACATATGCTCAAACACAGCAACCCATTATGATCAAGTACTTTAATCTTCTCATTCACGTAGTCATTTAACTTAATTTGATTTTTCACTTTAGTATTGTTTTTGATAGCCCCAACCGGTCGACCCATTAAGGCAGGCCCAGATCCCTCCCACTCATCCAGGTCTACCCTGTTGGCTAAGGGTTACCAACCCTCCACCTTTTCTGTCCCCATAGGACAACGTTCCTGAGGGGAGACATCAAAAGGTCTTATCTCGGGATACTACTTTCCTCATGTAGCCTCCCTAGATCCCCTAAATAGGAGTTTTCCTCCCACAGCTACAGCAGCAGTGATTGCCACCAGCATAACAGGGGGCTACACTACTGCCACAACATCAGTGACAGGCGCCCATCGCCCTCCCCAAGGAGAGTTGACCCGGTTCGCCCTCCCATGCGAATAGGGCATCTTCCCCCTATAAATAGCCTTCCATCACCAAGCAAGGGGACTCTGCCATTCCTTCGAGCCCTTGCTATCACCCCCCCTCTTGCAGATGCTGACCTCATACTTGGGACGTTACCGTTTAATTTAGTCTCTACATCTGTTAGCAGCAATACCCATATAGTGACATTCATCCCTACAAGAGGGTGTTTGGTAGGAGTATTATTTTCAAATGGATGGAAAAGTCAAGGTGAGATTTCAAGACTCCTATGTTTGGTAGCAAATGTGAGAAAATTTTCCCACTATTATCATTTGCATAGGAATCCATTTTCAGTGTAAAATTAGAACAAAAATCTAACTCAAAAATACCAAAAAGATAATGGTATTCGAATTTCCCTAGGGATATGGAAAATTAACGTCGTAATCTTTGACAAAAATAATCCGACTTGAGTATGTCTTGGACCATTCAGTGCTGAAAAAAGGATAGGTAGAGGTTGAAAAAAGCAAACAATATGCTTTGTATTCAAATCAAAAAATAAAAACGTTAACATGGTTAGTTTGATAATTTTATTATTTTTTCCATCAATATTTTATCTTCAACCAAACATGGATTCAGAAAATTTAGCCCAATTTTTTCAGTAATATTTTGATCTACCAAACAACTTTTTTTTAACTTTTCTATCAAACTCACTTTCCCATCATATTCTTACATATTCCTAGTAATTATATTTTCCTAATAAATTTTTTTTTCTCCTCTACCAAACACCCACTAAAGGAATATATTGTACTTGCACCTCTCATTGGTACAAGTCTCATACTCACTTTGAAAGTTGGAGTCCGTGAAAAGGTATATCTTAATTGTGTCAATGAAGCACCATGATCAACCATCATCCAAGAAACCTTGAGCAATGAATCCTTATTTTTCAGATAACCACACTGAATACTAGGCAACTGAATTTAATCCATTATATGTAATGAAATGAATAAATGTTCATAATTTTCATGAAGTTATGAGAGGTCTGAGATATTTTTCAACGAGTGAGATAGACTAGTCTTAAATCCAGATGAGCGGGGGATAGATTTGTACATTGGCTTAGCTGTACTTTGCATTGGTCAGTTTGGCCTTGTTATGCATTGTATGATTGAACAAGACCTCAGAGAAAAATAATGAGCACAAACATCCCATGTGGGAAGCTCTACAGTGCGTGCCTCTACTCCCTTTTTATATTTCCCCTCTATTCATGAGAGTCTAACTTTTTCAAGTTCGTCACTCACACCATCAAGTGGGGAACTGCTCATTCACTTTTCTCTATTGTACACATCACACAGCCTTATATTAAATGAAAAAGATACATGAAAAGTGATTGAGCCCCTCGCTGTAAAAATACAAGTGATGTTCAAAAGTAAGATAGTAAATCACATAATAATATTATGTGACATTACATGTTTATATTTTAAATTATACGAGTGATTATGAAAAGATGTTGATATTAATTTTTTAAAAGTATAAAATTGTACTTTAAATTATCAAGCATGACTGGAACATTATTTAAAAATATATATTGAGATATGAATTGGGTGTCAGGATCTGAAGGAGGAAAAAAAAAAAAAAAAAAAAAGCAGGTGGAGAGAGGCATTGAGTCATGATTTTTATTTGTTTGTGGGGCATATAAAAAAAACGACAAGTGGGAAAGCTAAATGCAGCAACGATACCCTCTTATCCCCTAAATACAAATCCCTATACCTTTTTTATGATTTTCTACTATCAAAAGAACAATCTCTCTCTTTCTCTTACATAATAACACATTATATTATCATGTAACCATCACAACAACAATGATAATTAAATTATGGGAAAAGTGTCTATCATTTAAAATTACACAACTTACATCCTTTCACTCTCACAAAGAGGCGGGACTCACACCTTTATTTTTTTTTTCAACTCTCTCTCCTACTTTATCTATCTCTTTCTCTTTCTTAAAATGACACAACTTTACATCCTTTAAAATTATACACACTTTTCCCTTAAATTATTAATAAATTACATATACTTTCAAGAATTGTAAAGAGACCCTTGGAAAAACAATGAGAGAGAGAGCAACAACTGGTGGGGCACCACCAACAAAGAACCCAAATAGCAAACGATGTGTTGAACATATCTAGAAAATAGAGAGAGAGAGTGTTTGATTGGGGTGGCATTGACTACTCTTAACATAAACACATGATGACTCAATCAAAGGCAAAACCTGAGAAGAGCGTGTTGTTCACTCTCCAACGAATGCTGATTGATGAATAGAGTTAGAGGGTCCTAGCCCCTATGAGAGATTTGATTGGAGCGTGAGAACCAAACTCTAAGGGAGAGCATTGATGCTGTGCTATGCTCGGGAAAGAAAGCTGAGAAAAAATTGAAAGTAAATAAATAGAGAGGAGTGTCAGAGGTTAGCAACAGAGGGAAGTGAAATGGAACGCGCAATATTTTGTATTTTTTTTCCACTTTTTATGCAGTTATTCTGCAAATAAATTATTTTGTAATAAATTCAATACGATGTCGTTTTAAAATAGAAGTTACGGTGTTTTTATAATTTTAATTTATCTCAAGATTATAATAGTCTTTATATTTATAGCTTTTTAAAAACGTCATTTTAAAAATAAAGACAGATAATTTATATGTAATAACTGCAAAAATATTTTTTTCACTTTTCAATACTCATTTTTTACACGAGACAATTCTCTTCGGATTGATTCTAAAATTAAGAATTTAAACTTAAATGATATCGATAAGGATTTAAACTTAAATGATATCGATAAGGATCAAACACATATTCTTATTGCATGCGATGAAGTCTTATGTAGCAACTGAACAAAGTTACAATATTTTGTATTTTGAAGCACGGATCTGAATCCATCCATTCAAAGAAGCACCAAACAAATTGTAACATAAGGAGACACCAACCACACGCACACGCTCTTAGCGCTTGTTAATGTTACCATAGTTTCAAAGGACAGATAAAAAATAAAAGGAGAGGGTCTACATAACATAACATAACATAGAGGTGGTGGTCATGACTCATGGGGTTGTGTACTATTTAGAGAGTGAGTGGGAGAGAGAAGAAAAATCTTTGCTTGGCTTGACTTGGCTTGGCTTGAGAGTGTTTGAGATAAAGGGCATGTGAGAAAGAGCAAAAAGCTCTCAACTTCACTGCCAACTCTTGTCCTGAACCCCATAAAACACAGTGAGGGGGCAGTGAGGCAATTGATGGTTCTTCTGATCTTTGCATCTGCAACCATATTATAAAGAAGGCGGTGGTTTGGCTTTTGTAGTAAGTTGACTGCCATTGTGTTTGAAGTGAGAAACTTGTCTTCAGAGAGAGTAACCAAAGAAGAGAGTTTATCCTTTCATGGGTAAGTCCGTACTCTTCTGCTCAGACTTTTGGATTTCAAATTTAAATTTGGAAAAACAAAGAGAGATTTCGAAGGAGCTTAAAGTTAAAAAAGGAAAAAAAAGAAAATAAAAGAAAGGGTTATTTGATATTTCTTATTGTTTCTAAGTTCCTACTTTTTGTTGTTTCTGCAACTTTTCATACTCATTACTTCTTTATAGAGAAATTCAACCACCATCTTATGTCTCTCTCTTTTCTTTTCTTTACTTTTTTTTCTCCTTCCTTTTATCAAAGGTTACTCTTTGCATCCTCTTCCATTAGTCTCCTATTAATCAACTACACGGGAATACTCTTTTTAACACTTCACTTTCTTACTTCCCCTTCTCCTTTTTTTTCTTTAACTTTGCAGGAATATGAGAAAGAAACATACTGAGCCACCACCCATGTCAAGTTGGTAGGTACTGCTTGTGTGTGTGGTTGAGAAAGAAACTTTACTTGTAATAGGAGTGAGAAAGATGGCTAGTGGAGAATAGAGAGAGAGAGAGAGAAAGACAGAGAGAGACACTCAACTGACAACAAAAATTGGATTTTTTAGGGATAGGCTAGTTTGTTGTGGAACAAAGTAGCAATCTTTTCACTCATGGATGGTTACGAAGCTACGAGGATAGTGTTTTCAAGGATCCAAAACTTGGACCCTGAAAATGCTTCAAAAATCATGGGTCTGCTTCTGATTCAAGACCATGGTGAGAAGGAAATGATTAGGTTAGCATTTGGACCAGAAGCCCTAGTTCACTCTGTGATTGTGAAAGCTCGCAAGGACTTGGGATTACCCTCTAACTCGCCGCCAACACCCTCAACTCCTCCTTCTCCGTCTCCTTTCCTTTCAAGACAAAATTCCATTTCTTCAAGGCTTAGTGGTATTAACCTTCCTCCTGCTCTCACTATCCCAAACCCTTCTTCTAGTTCAGCTTCTTGGGCTACTATGTCTGAGCTTCAAAACCCTGAAGATTTGATGAGCCCTAACAATTTGGTTGTTGGTTCTTCAACTTCATCTTCCTTGCCCTTCTATGCTAACGGAGGAGGCTCAGATCCAATTGATGAATTCCAACTTCAAGACCAGCTTTCTTTCTTGAATGATGGTTCTCCTACTCTTGGCCACAAGAACCTTGATTTGTTTTACCCTCACTCTGACTTGTCTTCTAGTCCTACTACTGGTGCTGCTGACCCTTCTCTCTTTCCTTCTTATGGTTGGGGAGGGTCTCTTCACCGCAGGAGTTGCTCTGTCAATGATGCTTGTTTGGGTTCTGAGGACCCTAATTCTGGGCTTGGATGGAAGCCTTGCCTTTACTTTGCTAGAGGGTACTGTAAGAATGGCACTAGTTGCAGGTTCCTTCATGGAGGAGGACTTGGAGATGCTGCTGATGGTGCTGCAATGGTTGGGTCTCCTAGCAAACTTGAGATGATGGATCAGTGCCATGAACTCTTCAGATCTAAATCTGTTCAACAACAAAGATTAGCTGCAGCTTCTCAGCTCATGGCATCTTCCTCTTTTCCATACTCCCCAAAGTGCATGAATTTCCTGTTACAGCAGCAGCAAAATGATACTCAAAGGTGTGTTACACTGTACTATATTCAATCATGTTTTGATTACTGTGGTGTACTATTATAGCTGCTGAGACTTAATCATGATTGATGGTGAATACAGAGCGGCAGCTGCAGCTCTGATGATGAATGAGGATTTGCACAAATTTGGAAGATCCAGGCTTGAAAGAAATGATTTTTCTTTGAACAGTCCTGGAATGATTAACCCAGCTTCTAGGCAGATCTACTTGACCTTCCCAGCAGATAGCACTTTCAGAGAGGAAGATGTTTCAAATTACTTCAGGTTATTGTTGTTTAGCTTTAGCCTTAAGTTAGGTTAGTATGCATAGTTTGGCAATGGCAGAAATATTAACCTGTTTTTTTTGAATTGTGTGGTTGAAGCATTTATGGTCCTGTTCAAGACGTGAGGATCCCATACCAGCAGAAGCGTATGTTTGGGTTTGTTACATTTGTTTATCCGGAGACTGTGAAGCTCATTCTATCTAAAGGGAACCCTCATTTCGTGTGTGATGCTAGAGTGCTTGTTAAGCCTTACAAGGAGAAGGGCAAAGTCCCAGACAAGTACAGGCACCCCTTCTTTCTTCTAGTCCTTTTTTTTTTTTTTAATCTTTTTCTTCATTATTGTCTCACCAATGCTTTGAACTGTGCTATGTTTCTTGTGACTTGCAGGAAGCAGCAGCAGCAGGTAGATAGGGGAGATTTTTCACCTTGTGGTACTCCACCAGGACTAGATGCTAGAGACCAATACGATCTTCAACTTGGTAGGTTAATGCTTTTGACCTTCCATTTTATTGTCTTCTCAGATTGTGTGCTAGTCAAACCTACCCTCCTTAAAATGTGGGGTGTCTTCTATGTTTTTAGGAGGAAGAATGTTCTACAATACTCAAGACATGCTGTGGAGGAGGAAGTTGGAAGAGCAAGCTGATTTGCAGCAAGCCCTCGAGCTCCAAAGTAGGAGGTTGATGGGTCTGCAACTTCTTGATATCAAAAAGCAACACCAGCGTGCACTTTCAACTGGAAGTCCAATTCCTTCCCCCACCCACTCTCCAAATATGTTCAACCAAAATCTTGTTCTTCCTTCGTTTCACACCAGCTCAGAGGCCCCAGAGGGTATGTATCTATCTCCCTACCATTTTAAATTCTGTGAAATGGAATTAATTGGTTGAGATTTGTACTATTTAATTTCAGAGAGTGGTTCAAGTTCTGGTCCAACTAGTACTGCATCAGTTTCTGTTGGTCAGCAGCCAGTCAACATTTCAGTTGGCAAGGAAGTGATGGTCAAAGAAGAGAATGGATATAGCGAAGGAAATGGCAAGCAGAGTTCCAGTCATGAAGACCGTGATTTGCAAGAATGGTATAAAACTTGTTCTCATTTAGAATAACTAAAAGGGTACCGGAATAGTAAACACCTTTTTTGCATCAAATTCCCCTTTTAGTCCATGCTAAAAAGCTTCTGCATTTATTCAGGTTTTACCAATTTTCCCAACTTTGATTGTTTTTAAAAGGGTTATGTATTGAATTGGTTTTTGTGAATAAATGCAGTTTGGAGCATAATCTCCCTGATAGCCCTTTTGCTTCCCCCACTAAAGCTGCTGCTGGAGAATACATGTCTTCCTTCTCAAGTGGACCTAATGAGGTCACTGATTCAGATGCATCAGCTGCATCTGCCAACTCTAAATTTGGTACTAATAATACATTACTTCCAACAGCATCATCTCTAGACATGGGGTCTTTCAAATCCTTTAACTGCCAAATACCAAGGTACTGGCGTCATATTGAAGCTTTCCATCCCCATGAATTTCAGTATCCATAAATTTTTTTTGGAATTTTGATGATCTGGGTTTCCACTTAGGTTCTCTTCTGGCCATGGAACTATTGGGATGTTCGCAGGCACCGGTGGACCAATTGGTATTTAGTTTCCTGAGGTTCAGGTAAAGTTACATTGTTCTTTTATGTTTATGAGCTCAGTTGCATATTTTCTTCAAGGTGCATTGGTTTGTTGTTTTGTTTATTAAATTTGGAAGTCGGTTTGTTCTTATTTGTACAATATTTTTACAGGAAGTGAAGATGGACCATACAAACCTGTAGAGAATCACCACCACCACCACCACTAAGAAGGCCATCACCATCAATCATAATACTATACTACTTACTACCATACAAAATGCATACGTAAAAAGCAGTTCAGTAAAGGAAGTGGGGCAGGCATTGCATTCCCTTTCTTTTGTTAGCATTATTGTACCATTTTCTTATTCTCATATCTGTAGTAGCTGAACCACAGGTAAAAAATAACACAGAAAGAATCAGAGTCAACGTGTAGTAGGGAACTCCTGGCACTGTAATTTCTCCTTTTCCTTTGCCCTTGGTGGATGTAGTAGTGTAGATTGTTAGTATGATGTTGTTACAGGTATAATTTCAAGTCTTTGTACAGCTGGAGCATTACCCAGAGAAAGAGCATTTGCACAGATGGAAGTGGTAAAACAGTAAATGCAGAGAGTTGTATAACTACAAGGCTGATGATTCAAATCCCCCACATAATGGTTAATTTAAGTTTGAAAGGCCAGGAGTGAGGAGAGGAGGGGAATATGCATAATTGTTAATCTTAGCTTGGGTTAAAGTTGAAAGTTGAGATTTTTACCTTGGGATGTTTATGTTGCAGTTAAGTTTGTACTTGTACTACTACACAGTTATCAACCCTCCCTTATATTGCCAGACAGAAAAGAGAAAGATTTAGAAAGAAGAATCAAAAGTTGAGTTTTTTAGGCTAATTGGTCTTTACTATTTGCCTCTCCCCCTTATGTGCTTTTTGATTTTAATGGAGAATTTGTCTCTTTGTTCCTGCAATAATTTTTTCCCTTTCAATTTTGTAAATTGGTGGGGTTTGTCTATTTTTTGCCATTATTAAGGCACACCATCACATGGGGTAGCTGACACTGCAAGTGGGCCATACACATTTATATAATGCCAGCTTGTGTATGGGTCCTACCCACCAGTACCTACCCATGTGAGTGATGCCACTTTCTCTTTCATTGATATATATCAACCCTACTACCCTTTAGCTTCTCTTTCATGATAGGAAAGGACATTGCTCAGATCTAAAAGTAGGAGTAGATGCCCACACGTATGACAAAAGTAGCCAGTTACTGGAATCTTTTGGGTTCTGTGGTCTTATGAATGTGTATGTGTGTGTGTGTCAGAGTCCGTGTGAGTTACTGTGTGTTTTAAATTTTTTTACTATTTCAAATTTTAAGAATCATAGGTGATAAGGTGTTTGCAAAATCTAACAATGTTCAAGTGTTGAGTGACAAGGCAAATCGTGGATAAAGCACAAACAATCATGTTGGTTGGTTGGTTGGTTTTTGACACGATGGTTGCTTTCGTGGCTGGTTTCTTAGACGTTCACAAACCAGACTGAGTTTTATGTGCACATAAAAAACAATCATGTTCCAGTTTGAAGAAGACATGTTTTGCATATGTCACGGCTTTCACATTTATGTGGCATGTGGTTATGTTTTAGTGGCTTAGGATACTATGATTCTATAAACATAGTCAATGGGGAAAGAGATGGTAACCCCTGATAACAGTTTCAAGTGCAGTGTTTGTGATTAGTCTGTTGACTATCTTGCAAGAAACTGTAGTACAACACATTAATGATATAAAGGTTGTTGATTTATCAATTAATGACTTGGGTTAGCGGCTGAGCACATACTGTAGTACAACATATTTGTTAAAAGGAAGATTTCTACATTTAGTGATAAATTGCAGAATCATGATAATATATATATATATATATATATATATATATATATATATATATATGAGGCAGATTATACTTACAATTTTTTTTTTTTACAAACTACACTATCTTTTTGCGGGAGAACATTCTTTACACTATGTTTTCCCGGGAGAATATAATGTAATTTGTAAAAAATTTTAAAAAAAGTTTGTAAACGGATCCTTTCCTTATATATATATATATATAGGCTTTAATGTTTTTATATGAAATGCAGATAAGTTATTTACATTTATTTCTAAAACAATGTCATTTTGAGTTAAAAAATTATAATGATAAAAATGATTATAACTTTGGAATAAATTATAAGGGAAAGGATATACTTACCACCAAAAAAGGTTATGACCTTTACAACTAATTTAATAACCATTGATTTTCATCAATCTAACGGTTATAGTTTATTGAAAATTATTGGATCGCATTTATTAATTAATTATTAGTTCTAAATAAATTATAACCGTTAGATTGATGGAAATCAACAGTGATTAGGTTGGTTGTAAATGTGGTAAATTTTTTTAGTGGTAAGTATATCCTGCTCCAAATTTGAATTATAAAAACACCTTAGTTTCTGTTCAAAGATGACATCATTTTGGGCTTAATGCAGATAATTTATTTGTATTCATTGCAGCAAAAATAAATTCATATATATATATATATATATATATATATATATATATATATGAGGTTTATATTTCTGCAGCTGCTGTACGTGCAGCAATCAAATACTTGCCATATATATACGTGAAAACATTAAATGCAGAAAATCATAACCATACAAAGGATGAAAGCATTAAATGAGAGAATTAATAACCATACATCTGTCGTTGTTGTACATAAGATGACTACAGAAATGATTTTACATATATATATATATATATATATATATATATATATATTGTTAAAATCTTCTAATTTTAAAGACTGGCTATTGAGTCATTTTCCAGCATTAATAAGTATATATGGGAGTTTCTGCTCCTGATCAGGTATATATTGCTTTTTAGCTTTATACAATCGCCATTTGCAATAAAGTAGTAACATCATGGTCTCTTCTATTCCCTAGTGTAGTGTGACCTTTTCGGAAGTACCCTATACATATTGTATTAATTATAAATTGAGAAGTGTCAAATGGGTGGTATTTGCTTTTATCCTATCCTAGTAACAAAAATACCGTGTTATTGATTGCTTCCCCTTCCTCCCCCTTTTGAATCTCATTCCATTCTTTTGGTTTTAAACTTTTGAAGTCTAAACAACAAAACATTAAAGAGACCTCATATCTTCACCATAAAAGTGAAAGAGCTTTCATATAAATATTCTGTAGTAAGAATATGATAGGTTACACATTCCATACATCGATTTTTGCCTTATTCTTTTCAAATCAGAAATGCACTTCACATGCATCCAATAATTGAAATCACAAATCCTAAATTGTAAAAAGGAATTCTAGAAGATTTTTTAATAGAGCAGTCACCAAACGGGAGGTGATTCAAAACATTTTTATTTGAAAGAAGAAAGTGCCGAAATTATGAATGGTCAAAGCTATTGTACAATGTGCACAACATGACAATGTTGGCATATTGTTTTATTAGAATATATATTTGTTCGATAGACAAGTTCAAATTGCACATGGACTTGACATAAACATTTCAGCAACTTCACACAACTCGAAGTTGAAGATAAATAAGAATGTATTATGTTGGCAGATTGTTAAGACAAATGAAAGAAAGATTTTCAGTTTTTTTTTTTTTTTTTTTTAAATTGAAGAAAAGAAGCAAAACACGATACCATTCATGCAAAATTTTATCGGAAGGAGAATTAATTGCAAGAATTAAACCCAAGACTTCTTGGTCAGAAGAGTTCAATTCAACCAATTGAGCTGATTCTCATTGGCTTAATTGGAGATTACACTCATAGAATAACTAAATAAATAAAATATTAACAGCACCATATATATATATGTATATGGATTTTATGAGTATCAAGTCACTAGATATAAGCTTTTATCCAATCACTAAAACATAATCGTATAAAGGTAGATCAATGATGATAAATGAAGAGAGAAAAAAGAAAATCATAACCATTCAAAGATGAATAAATTAATATAAAAAAATAAATAAACAAAACAACGTAGTTTAATAATGACTTGACCATCCAGTGACATAACAAACAATAATCCATATATATGTGTGTGTGTTGTAAAATAAAAGATTGAAGAAATTAAAAAGGAATAATCTTAGTTTTGTTTTATTCATGTTCAAAAATTATGATGATTTATTTTGTTGGTATCGTCCATGTAAAAGCAGGAGGACTGAAAATTTATATCAGAATGAAGATGATTGTAAGCATGGATGCAGATCAAGATATATAAAATTTTGGAGGAAAATACAAATTATATAGTATTGTTATAAGGGATAGGATATTGTGACACACAAATAATGTTACGCACAATGTTACGACCACATCTTAACCGTTGATTTCCGCCAATCAACGGTTATCATTTTTCAAATTAAACTCATTAATTAATTATTAATTCGCAATATATTAATGTATTGTCCAGAGTTTTCAAATAAAGTAGTTACTAATTTGAGTTTTACATTATTTTAAATTAAGTCCATTAGAAGTATGCTAAAGTTAAATCATGTAGAATTTAAGATTCTTAGGTACTGTTATAATATCATGCAAATCAAATCTTAAAAGCTATCACATACTTTGATAAAATTTAATTTCTTAACTAATTGAGCATAATTCTTGTCGTAGAGTAACAACTTAATAAAATTTAAAAAGTACCTCTACTTATGTTATAGTAATGTGTTTTTGAATTGGTTTATGTTGAGGTACAAAATTATTTTATAAAAGTTTTAAAGAAATTTTTATTTATAAGAATAATTATTTATCAAAATCAAGCTATTACGAAACATGCAGTAATTATTTATTGACATTAAATAGATGAACAAAAAAGAGAGCCTAAAACATAGCTAAATAAAAATGGGGGGACAAATCCTCGAGGGCAACTGAGTGCTCCCAAGGATTTGCTTGACATAGGATAGTGAAACTTAATGCATCTACTGTTTCAATGAGGGGTTAGCCTACAGGACCATATCCCGAGGGTAAGATGATCGGAGGAGGTTAAATGAGGATACCTCCAAGTTATACAAAAAAAATAAAAAAATAAAATATGGGAGGACAATATAAAAGTGATAGATTGAGAACAAGTTAAGCATTAAATTCTCAAACTCAACCAAACAAGTTTGATCTTAGATGCAATTTTCAAGATCATTCATTCATTCATTTAATAAATAGACTAAACTATTAACTTCGAACAATAATCCGGAACATATAAGGTGACAACATGTAACTTTCCAAGCTTAACTAATGTTTGCTACCAAACTAATGTTTTCACTACAAGCAAAAAATCATCCTCCGAAAGAGATTTTCTAAAGGGAGAAAGGAAAAGGGGCTAATCAAGAATGATACCGCACCCAACAAATGGTATATGGAGAGGAAGTAAATGACAAAATTAAAATGAGGGTAGATATAATGGTAGGAACTTGGAACAGTCTAAAATGAAAGGCAACTAACTGTGACAAGTTAAGATATGATATCTCTCTTTGTAGGCATTTTTTAAAAACATTATATCAAAATCATTATTAAAGCTTATAAGGAACCGAATTATGTATCATATATTCATGCAAGTTCTGGTCCACTTGGTAGCTGCTCGTAACCATCATGATGAGTTGCGATGTAATTACTATCAGGAACAGGAATGCACTTTAGGACAACTGCTACGAGTAAACTCAATGCTCCAATCATGCAACTGGTTAACCACAACTCACGGCTCAGTGGTACTGTTTGAGCAAAAGCACCAAGAAACTGAACTATTATTACTTGAAAGCATATTGTTAAGGTCATGACCATCAGGAAAATCCAGCTGCTGAACATTCCTCGTAAGACATTAATCTTCTCCATGTCACGGCTGTTTATCTCGTTGAATACCTATTGATTTACAATTTCAAAGTAAGAATGGACATTAATCTTCTCCATGTTTGACTTAACAAGAAAGATGTAAAGAATCATTTCAACTCAAAAATTTAAGCTGTTGAGTGTATATTCATCAATAATTTTATATTATATCTCTCTGACAAAAAACCGGAAGTTAACTGATCTAGTACCTGACAAAACACAAAAGTGTTGAATATGACCGTATTCAGAACTGATGTAGAATCAGGTCCACTGAGCTTGAGAATCTGTTTCCCACGAAATTTGAGAATCAAAAGGACAATAATTTGATAGATGCTCTGACCAGTTATGTTCCTCCACATGACCCCAGTGATGAATTTGGCGTTTCTTCCAATAGGTGGTCTTTTCATCAGTCCATCATGGGGAGGTTCTGTGGCCAGTGCCAATGCGCCTAGAGTGTCCATGATCATGTTTACCCAAAGCATTTGAACTGCAGTTAGAGGAGCTGAGCCTGAAGTAGATTTCTGTTGTGGTTAGTCCTCTAAATTTAACAAAATATTTATGTATGTCCTAGAAAATATTGTCTTAAAAAAAGTTAGCTGAATGTGTTACCTGACACACATGCTGAAACAAAATTCAGCATGAGAGCTACAACATTCACTGTTAACTGGAACTGGACAAACTTTTGTATATTAATATAAACAGAACGGCCCCATCTTATAACATTCACTATGGTTGTGAAGTTATCATCCATCACAATCACATCAGCATTCTCTTTTGCAACCTGGAGAAGATGGACGTTAACAATGCTTAACAAATAATGCTATACAAAGTATTAAAATCAATTGATTACGAAAAAGTATTCGTTATTGTAAAGAATCAATTCAACCCAAAAGCTTAAGCTGTTGGGTGAGGCTATATTAATGGTTTTATATATCTCAACACGCTCCCTCACACAGGGCCCACTGGGCTTGAAGGGTAAACAATGCACAGGCCCACCTACCTGTGCGAACAAAGAAATTTCACTTGAAAGAAAGTGGGAGGCGGCGAGAATCGAACCCGGGACACGAAGCTCTGATACCATGTAAAGAACCAATTCAACCCAAAAGCTTAAGCTTTTGGGTGATGCTATATTAATGGTTTTATATATCTAAACAATTATGCACATAAAATGTTATAAATAGTGTTGCCTACTATATAAATCCTAAAGGTTTTTTTTGTCACCCTAAAAATTCAGATAATGTTTAGTATTTATTTATAGCAATGTAGGTTCTAAATGTGCTCTAGAGGGTGGTCCTATTCCATGGTCGGGTACTTAATTGAAGATACAAAGCAAGCAGATAATGACACATAATCTCAGATGGAACAATAAATGATAAGTATCCTATGGAAGTCATCTAGGATATATATAGATTTTGTGCCTGTAGCAAACCTCTGTCCCTGCAATACCCATAGCAAGCCCAATATCAGCCTCATGCAAAGCTGGAGCATCATTGGTCCCATCGCCCGTTACTGCCACAACTTCGTTAAAGTCATTCCTCAAATGGGTCACTAAGGTGTGCTTGTCAAGAGGCAAGGATCTAGCCATTACCTACATACATTGAGCAACCAATTTATAAGTTTACCATATTTGCAAAACATTAAAAGGAGTAACCATGGAACAAAAATGAAACCTGTATTTTTGGTATTATCTCCTCCATTTCTTGCTGGGACTTGTTCCTAAAATCTGGTCCCTCTATAGCCAATCCATCTGTCAAGATGCCACATTCTCTAGCTATTGCTTTAGCAGTATTTATGTTGTCACCAGTTACCATCCTAACTGTAATACCAGCTGCTAAACAAGTCTTTACAGCTTCTCTGACTCCAGGCCTAACTGGATCCTTGATCCCAATGATAGTTATTAACGTGTACTTATCCTCAGGAATACTATCACCTTGAGAGGATCCTTCAATATCCTTGAAGGCAATGCAGAGTGTTCTCAGAGCCTCAGAAGCAAAACCATTGATAACTTCCGTGATGCTATTTCTTTGTTGTTCGTTCATATCAATGACTTTGCCGTCTGCATTAACAACCTTGTCACACATTTTCACTACTATTTCTGATGCTCCTTTACAAAATGCTCGAGACTTGTTGTTGCCATCAGGAAGAGCCACAAGCACTGACATCTTTTTTCTGACTGAGTTGAAAGGCTCAATCTTCACTATCTTATATTTCTCATTATAATACTTAGAATCACCACCCAAAAGCAAGCCAAATTCCAGCAATGCTGACTCTGTAGGAGTACCCATGATTTTGTTCTTTCCATCTTGCCCTTTAACTATCTCTGAGCCAGTATTCTGGAATATGGATTGCAAAAGAAGATCAAATATCTGTTCAGAGATTGAGGGCTTCAAAACATTTTCACTGGTGCCGCTTTTAATTGCCTTTGTTTGTTCACAAATCCATATTTTGTCCACAACCATGTGATTTGTTGTCAAAGTTCCTGTTTTATCTGTGCAAATACAACCAGCAGAACCCATTGTCTCGCATGCAGAGAGGTGCCTTACTAGTGCCTTATCATTCATTAGTTTCTTCATTGCAAATGCAAGGCTTAGTGTCACTGCCAAAGGAAGACCCTCAGGAACAGCCACAACTATTATAATGACAGCAGTAGCAAAGAAATTAAGAAGCTTTGAAGCATCATTCAGACCCCATTCTGTGATCTCATGTTGTTCTATTTTCTCCAACAAAAACCTTCCAGTCAGAACCAGGAATGTCAACAGTGCAAAACCCAAACCTATCTTCCCAATAATGGTTGCAACCCCATTTAGTTTAACCTGAAGTGGTGTCTCATCATCTCCACCTTCGTTCAGAGTATCCATCAATCTTCCCCATTCAGTCCTCATACCAACACAAGTCACTAGCATCTTAGCAGAACCATCTTGAACTGTGGTTCCCGCTAGAAGAAAAGGCTTCTGTTGATCAACATTCACAGCCTCACTCTCACCTGATAAACTTGATTCATCAATCAATAAGCTAAAACCAGATATGAATAACCCATCTGCAGGAACCACATCTCCAATTGAGAGATGGATTACATCTCCTACCACAAGATCATAAATTGAAACCTTTTGTCTTGTACCTTCTCTTGTAACTTGAATGCTGACATTTTTCTTTTCTTTGTCCAAATCCTTAAATTGCAAAGACTGTTTATAGTCACTGATTGAAGTGACAAAGACCACTAAAATAATACATAGTATGATTCCAACTCCATCGTACATACCTTTAGGCAAACCTTCGGTTGAGATTCCAACACCAATTGAAACAACAGCACATACAATAAGGATTATTAAAGTTAAGTCTTGCATTGCATCCCAAACAAACATCCAAAAACTTCTAGAAGGCTTCTCTGCATGTCGGTTAACACCATAGATGTTTTGTCTAAGAGGAACATCACATGAATTAATGCCTGATTGCAATGACACACAAACTGCTTTTGCTAATCCTTCGATTCCTTCATGATGTTCTAAACATTTGGTGTCATGGGATCGAACAATGGAAGCTAATTCATCAGGATCAATTCCAAAACCTGCTTCCTGAATCTCTTTGGATAGCATGTGACCACCACGGCTCCCAGCTGTATGAGAATGAAAAGAAAAAAACGTAACAGAAAAACGAATGAAAAGAGAAAGAAAGAAAAAAGTGAATAAAAGCTACTAAATGTAAATACCGTTAATAAAATTTAACGCTGCTTTTTGCACATAGAGAGCCACTCGTATCTTTTCCTGGTCAAGATAGTTAGAGCATATGCAAAGTGTGTTAGGGAGACACATAATAAATGCATGTTATGCCTATATAACATTTACACCCTAGTTATATGTTATATTTTTTAATTGAATAACCGTTTTCACTGTTCCAAAGATTAAACATTTTAGTTTATTGCTCAACAATATAATCACAAACTACACATACAATTTATTCACAGCATTGGCACTAAAAAAATGAGATATATATATATATGTGTGTGTGTGTGTGTGTGTGACACTAACTAACTTGGAAGGATAACCTCTCTTGTAAAAATGTGATTGTTCAAAATAAAAGTGTGACTATAAAGGGAAAAGATCGATTTCTTTCAAGGAATATCATTTGACTTAAAACGGCATGAAGACATGGTTGATGAATAGTCTATACTGTTATGTCTAACAAATTCCTTCATGTAAAAATCATTTGACTGAAATTCAGTCTAACAATGACTATATCGGCAAGGATTGAATCGTATTATTTAACCAGAATGGTATAATATAATTATATTATTCTACTTGACTAGGGTGTGTGTGTTAAAATTCTTAGGATTCCTATTAGATGTAAAAGCATATGATTTCTGCCATATTATTTTCCATAGTTTATAGTATATAGCAATATAGTCGTAATAAATTTTTTAAATCAGTACGTCTTAGTAAGATTGCTTTCAAAAAAAGCTGGAATTGAAGAAACACTAGTAAAGAATAAGGGACCAATGACAAAGAAGAAATTGACTCAAAGTAGTGAAACACCACGAATCTTTGCTGCTTTACATTGTATAGTGTATAATGGAACACGTATAGTCATGGCTGCATGGGTTAATGTACGTACATGCATGATATATTAATTTCATGAAACAAATTCATTTTAGGGTGGCATGTTCAATTTTTTGTTTTCATTTCTAATTGCTACATTTTTTCATTAATAATTATAAAAATATCACATTGTTTTTAATTTATTAAGCAATGACGAAAACAAAAATTATGATGTTTGTTACTCTTAATTTTTTTTAAATAAAATAGTTTAAGTTATTGGATCGAAAACTGAAAAAAAAATAAAAACAGTGTAAATAGCATGAGTAATGAAAATGAGAGAGATTGTTATATATTATATATGTGTATGATTGAGGAAAAGACCTGGAGCTTCTGGCGCTTTTGTTCGGCGTCGGCACGTTGGGCGAGATTGGCCACCATGCGGAAGCGGCGGCGGGGGTTCTTGACGACGGAGACGGCGGATCTCCATCGGCGAAGGGCGGCCTCAGAGGGACGCTTGGGCTGGACGTCAAAGTTATCTCTGAGGTACTTCTCCATTGCTATTCACTGACTACGCTTCACGATCACTGTTGTTTTTTTATTATCACATTATAAGGAAGAAACTTTCAAACGTCGCCGAATATGGTGGGAAGAAGAGAGAGAGAGAGAGAGGAACAAATGCCAGGGAAGGGTGCTTGTTTACAAGTAGATGTGTAAGTGGACCTAGCTACCTAACAGAGTCTACGGCATAACCTACTCGGCCTATTACAAATAAGGGATACGATACTCTGAAAATGTTACTATTAATGTTACTATCATATTTTAATTGTTGACAATCAATCGTTATCATTTTTCAAATCAAATTTATTAATTAATTATTAATTCGCAATAAATGATAACCGTTGATTGACGGAAATCAACGGTTAAAATGTGATAGTAACATTATTTGATTGTCAGAATATCCTACCCCTACAAATAATCAAATAAAATAAAGCTCAAGGTAAAAATTGGCTATTTAGAAATTAAGCCATAGATTTATTTGGGCCTATAACATACCAGCTTATATCATATTATTTATTTTAAATAAAAAATATTATTTTAATAATTTTGAATAATAAAGTAATATTATTTTAATTATTTTTGTAAGTATTAATGTCTAATAGGCTTAAACAAGCTAACAGATCTAGATCAAGGTTTTTTTTTTTTTTTTCAAATATAGATTAGACCAGACTTTTAATTTGAGCTTACATAAAGCTAGGGTTGGCAAAACGGGCCAACCCGGCTCGACCCGACCCAACCCGCATTCAGCCCGAAAAAATGGGTCGGGTCGGGTTGGCTCGAAAAAAAAACGAGCCAGAAAATCCAACCCGGCTCGACCCGAGCCGGGTTAGGGTTGGCTCGATAATCAGCTCGCGGGTTGGCTCGTAAAAAAGCTCACGGGTTGGCTCAAAAAAAGTTCGCGAGTTAGCTCGAAATGATGCTAGTGGGTTGGCTCGCGGGTTGGTTAGCTCAAAATATTGGCTAGCGGGTTGGCTCAAAAAATTTAATTTTTGTGGTTTGTTTTCCTGTATAAAATTATTGTATTTTGCAGTCCAACTACAAGTAGAGTAGTTTACAAAATCCAAAAACATTAAATGAAACACAAACCACTCCACGAATCACAAGAGTCATTTATCATGATTTTTTGAATTACTCTAACTCACGATAACCATAAAACGTATGTAAAGCCAAAAAATAAAAAATAAAAGAAGTCCATCAGTGGAGAATCCATCAGTAAAGTCCATTGTATTAAAAAAAAAAAAAAAAAAGAGTAACCCGCGAGCTGGCTCGTTCAACCCGCGAGCTGGCTCGTTCAACCCGCGAGCTGGCTCGTTTGAGCTCGGGTTGGCTCGGGTCGGGCTAAATCGAGCTGGCAGCTCATTTTTGCCAACCCAACCCGGCTCGTTTTGTGCGGGTTACGAGCCAACCCGACGGGTTGGCTCATTTTTGCCATCCCTACATAAAGCTAATAAAATAGGATAGACCTAAATATTTTTATACAAACCTAACCTACTTAAGGCAAAACTTAGTCAAACCCATTTATACCCCTATTTGTAAGGAAAGAAAGAAAAATAAGAGTATAACAATAATATAATTTAGGAAAAAGTTGAAATACCCCTCTTTTAGAATCACTTATTCTGTAAATAATTAATTAAACCTAAAAGCTTAAGTGATGGGGCAAGGCTGGTTTTATTTTCTCTAATATGTGACTTTTCACAAAAGAGCTCATTGGACTTGAAGGGTGGATAATACTTCAGACTCAGTCTATTTATACTAAAAAAACTCTACAATATTATTTAACTATTATTATTAAAAGAATGGAACAGTGAAGATCGAATCCATGATACTTTAGTTACATTAACTCTCGTATCATATAAAGAATCAATTTTTTTTATCATTTACCCCCTTATAAGTTTTTTTCCATCCGGTCCATTGTTAAAAATTAAATTAGACAATCCATTTCGACCCTATAAAAAGAATCACTATCAGACTATCTACTATTGTGTTCCTCCTCACCTTTTTCAACTTTTTGAGATGAAAATTTCATAGTGTAATATTTTTTTTTATTCAACTTCACAATACATTGTATATTGTCAATTTATTGTAACACTGAGATAAATAATCAAACATATGTTACATGTTCAAACCCTTAACTCAACCAGAATGTAAAGTTTAACTCAATTGAACTCTTTTTATTCATAGATTTTAACCAATCTACTCCTTAATATATTAATATTTTTCCAACATTTTTATATTCTTTATTATCTATTACTCACATTTTTTTCATTTTAATTTTTGAATCCATAATAAAAAATATTTAAATATAAATTGATTACTTGAATAATCTTTAATTTTATTTAATAAATTTAAGATATTAATACATTTATCAAACTCAAGTCAAGTCAATTTTATTAAAAGTATATATGTTTGTAAGAAAAATAATAGTTCTAAGTTAAGCGTTCATTCTTGCTAACAATATTTTGAATATTATCTTTATTGGAAGATCGAAATTAGTTGTTAACTTGCAGCTTTCATTGTAATTTTTCTCTCAACATCATTGGGATGGAAAGTTTTTTGAAATTTTGGTATATAAATTTTAGAAAACAATTAGAGATGGATGAAAAAAAATTAACATTACAATATAAAATTCTTATCTCTACAAGATTTTTTTAGAAGGATAAAATTGACATTTTAATTCATTTTTTAACAGATTTAGAAGGTAGATTAGATGAAATAAAATTATAAGAGGGTAAATGATAAAAAAATAACCATAAAAGATAAATGATTATAAGAGAAACCATAGAATTTTATTTTTTTTGAAATTTTTCCTATAGTTTAATAACTATATTATCCGTTTACCAAAAAATAAAATAAAATAAAATAACTATATAATCCTCTTCTTTTTTTTCACAACTAATATTAATCGAAATAAAACATGGGTGTAGTGCTCATGTAACATCGGATAAAATTTTCGACTGTTGTAGGGAAAACACTTTTCCCGTCAAATGTATCGTTTTTACGTTTTTTTAAACAGTTCAATACTAGGGTTTAACATTTTTCCTGTTAAGAAAAAAATATAGAATATTTGAGGAAAATTCATATTATAAAAAAATAAAAATTTCAAAACATCTTATATTTTATGGGTTTATTTTTTTAGAATAAATGCACAGTATATTTTGAAAGTAAATATAAGTAACTTATTACTGTAAAAACGTTAAACCATCTTTTATTCCCAAATCTCATTACAAACTTTATCTTATCTGATGTGACGGAAAGAAAAAAAAAAGTTAATAAGCTAGGAAAAGTGCACTGTAATTACATATGTACCTGTTTGTGATGTTTTTTTTTTATAGTTTTTTTCTTATAAATAAAAGTATTTTGGAGAAGTGTTTTTTAATTATATTAAATTTTTTTGAAACGTGTTTTTTTTTTTAAATGAACAATTTTTAAGCTAAACCTTTTATATAATTATCAAACAGGTTATAACTTTATTTTTTTATTTTAATTTAAAAGTAACTTTTAACTTAAAAAAAACATCAAATATGCTATTATACTTGTAAAACAATTTTTTTAATCAATGAAATACAAGGTTCTATTTGGTTCTGTATCTGTAACATCCAGCAATTGCAAGTTTAATTTTATAACAACTATAGTGGCAGTGAGATTGTGTCCTACGCAAGCACAAATTTCCAACAATCTCCACGGAGGAATTTCAACATACGCAAATCTACTATCTTTTTGTCACTACATTATTCGCCGAGTCTGTAATTTGTAATTATAATCATTAAACCATTATGGGATTCCTCAATACAACCGTGGAACAAAGGAAACTTTTTTAATATAATAGCTTACTCTTCCAAAACATTTCGGGAGTTACTTGCTGAAAACTGAGAGTAGACGACAGAAGGATTCCCGAAAAAGTTCTAAAGACACACGCAGAAGGATATTTTCAACAGCTACAATTAGCTCCCACATAATCAAGTGAATAACCTTTACCCCTTTTTTGGTTTCCATGATATGTGGACCTGAATTATTCTGTTAGTATTTCTTACCTGGAATAAATCTTTGGTACTACCAAAGATTCAGTACATTCTATCAACGAAAATATTACATGTCAGTTAAATTATTTATTTTTTGTCAAATTTTTTTTCTCTTATCTGATGTGTAATGCTTTTATTGATGAGATGCACTGAATCTAGGTATAGCAGTAGTACCAAAGATTTATTCTCTTACCTGAATCTATCATAGGTACTCAAATACTTAACATGTGTAAATACATTTTTAGAACTAAGTGCATTTTTAATAGGACTCTACGACCATACGCATTATTAGTCTCAATACCTAAGATATTATTCTTTTTATGCTAACCAATGTGAAACTCAAGTCCCATGCCTTGTAATTAAATCAACATTTTATCATGCTCCACAGCCTTGGCACCTATACGTGTTGGCTTTGCACTAGTTTTTTACTGGCGCCGAACGAACACTGCAATGCCAATGTCACAAGTCGACCCACTCAATTGCATTCGGAAGACATAGTAGAAGGTTTTAATATTAATTAATACGAATTTTGAAAAAATCTCACCTCAAAAGCTAGTCTAAGAGATAAGAAAGTCCAAAGTTCATATAAACCCTACATTCGTCACCCATATAACCAATGTGAGATTTAAGTCTCAAGATTAGATAGTATAAGAACGTCTAACGCAAATGCATTATGTGCTACAGATGTTTGGACACAGATTACTTTTTCCATTGTGATATTGATAGGCAGATCAAAGGCATATAGGTATTTATAAAAAGGAAAATCAATGAAAAAGTAAAGTTAATAATTTGTAAAATACAACAAATTGCCTTCTTTGTATTATGAAGTTACTCTTGTATGAACCAAAGGTCCATGGTCAAATCTAAGAAACAATCACTTTGCAAATTGCATTGCAAATATAAAAATAAGATTGCATATTAAAATTTCCCACCCATATCCTCTCAAGCCCGGGTTTCATATGAATATTTTTTTTAACAATAATAAAATGCCTTCTCTAAAGTTTGCCACAACTAAAAAATCTAACTAAAACAATGGTCATTTATGACGGAAATTCTTGTGGATTGCCAACATTGAAGAAATTGTTACCAGAACAACACAGTTCAACATTCAAATCCCTACACAACTTTGCTGACTCCAGATTCTTTTAGGGGTGAAGAAAAATGGAGCAGCACAAAGATACTGAGATTTACATTCACCAATTCTCAAAATTAAACTGCCAAACCCATACGAGACTAGGATTCTATGGTTGCTGACCAAGAAGAGATGGCCTGTAAAATACATGACTTTGAGCAATCTCAATGCGGTCACGTGGATCATTCATGGTCTCATCTCGCAATGCTTGAAGAATGGCCTGTACTGGACATTCCCTGAAGATTAGAGGTCACCAAAACCATAGAAAGAGTTAGTTTCATAACTGGATTCATTTTTTATATTGCAGGGCAAAATTCTATATAGTACCCCCCCCCCCTAAAAATAACCCTGCACAATTAATAGTGTAAAGAACCTTGGGATACACTACCCCAAAAACTAGCTCAAAGGGTAGGAGTGTCCAAGGCTTTATAAACTCCACATTGACTATATATCTCAACACGCCCCCTCACACGAGAGCCCATTGGGCTTGAAGAGTGGACAATGCACAGGCCCAGCCTACCTGTGCGAACAAAGAAATTCCACGAGAGAAAGTGGAGGGCGGTGAGGATCGAACCCGTGACACGAGACTCTGATACCATGTAAAGAACCTTGGGATACACCACCCCAAAGCTAGCTCAAAAGGTGGGAGTGCCCAAGGCTTTATAAACTCCACATTGACTATATATCTCAACAAATAGCATTATTACTTCAGTGATATTATTGTATGTTAGATGATACTGGAAGCATAATCCATTGATTTCAATAATATTTCCAATAGGACTAAGCTCGAACAATTATATAACTGATAGCAAATTTATACCTAATTATTAGTATTTTATATAACATCTTCAAGATAGGACAAAGCTCCACTGGGGCCACAAGCTTGTTTTCTTCAGGATTTAGGACATTTAAGCTGGACTGACTAAGTAGCTCATAGAAAGCTTTAACTGCAGATACTCCCTACAACATGCAAAACAAAATAAACATAATTGATAAGCAGCAACTTAGAAACTTGAACGAAATTGACTATCTATAATTTTTTTCTAATCAGACAGCAAGATCCACCACAGGTATTTTGAATGACCAAAATCGATACCTGAATCATTCCCTTGCCCTTGATGCTGTCACCCATTTCAAGGTTCAATTCCCCTTTGGCCAAATTTTGTCCATACCACGCATTACGACCTTTCAACAAGGTTACATAAGTATCAGCCAAGAGAGGCCCTGCAAGTTTCTCTGGTTCTTCTGCCAATAGATGAGTGATAAAAATCATCTCTGATGTACAGTGAGCAAAGTACACTGATTTGCTGGTGGCACTTTCATTTGTTAAAGCAGCAACCATTCCTGTTAAATTGAAAATCATGAATAAAAACTATAGGATTTGAAAATATTAATGGTGCATTTTAATGCGGTGTAGCATAAAAAGAATTCAAAGAATACAACATTAAAGAAGCATAATACATGAATAACATCCAGACACAGAGTCCAACTTGAACATGAAAGCATTTCAACCTCTCAACTGATATAAAATCTATTCTATCTGATACAAAATTATAATTGAAAACTGAAATCTTATTCACAAAATGTTGGTATCTGATAAAGACTGCTGGAATCAATCATTGAAGTTAGGAAAACAGAAACAAAATAACAGAATTACACCTTCTGAATGTTGCTAAAGAAAAACTTGTTCTCATAGGTGGAGAGATCATCAATATATTTTTAATTACATTTGCTCAATGGAAAAATCATTTCACCAATTCTAATCAGTCTAAGATGATGATTATGCAGCTCCTATCTAGCAGCTAGTATTGAGATAAATTTGTAACAAATGAGGAAACAGATTTTGTGCTCAACATTCACAAAAATCTGCAAAGAAGAAGGCAGAGTGAGAGACAGAATTCCTTACTGTTGGCCAGCAAATAATTCCTAATCTCTAAGAGCTCTCAATGATATCTGGCTGAAGAGAATATAATAAACAAGCCGCATCAATGAGAAAATAAGAATTTATAAAAAGGGCAAGGTGCCTGAAAAGTGAGGATTAACTAAACCAATAAATTCCTACAACTGGAAGGCTATAAATAACTTTCCCCTAAACTCTGACAGCTCACAAATGATTTGCCTCAAAAGCAAATACAACAAAGTTTGCTCTGTAAGGAAAAAATAATAGGAACGAACTTAGCCAGTAGAAATCATCTAAATACTTTATCCCTAATCTCAAAGATTTCCCAAATAATATTTAGCAAGAGAAAATACAAAAGACTAGACTCCTAAATTTTTTTAAAAAAAAATTGTAAGAAGATAAACAAGCCTGGAAAGTGGGAATCACCTAAGACAAAATTTTCACTGCAAGTATATCTAATAAGAAGGATGTCTATATGTTTATCACTTACCACCAAGAACACAAAAAGATACTCTCTCTCTCTCTCTCTCTCTCTCTCTCTCTCTCCTGCTTAAAAACAGCATGTACCGATTGGCTTCTAATAAGTTGTTCTCTACAATGTAACAATGTAAACTGAATTTTACCTGCTCCAATAGCATATACATTCTTTAAACCACCCATAACTTCATGAGTAACAAGGTCACCATTATCCCACACTATAAAGTGGGTCTGTCTCAAAAACTTTGCCAATGGTTTCCTCCATTTTTCTGCTCCACATATCCGAGCATTTGCATATTCCTTGTTGTAAATCTCCGAGGCAATGTTAGGACCTCCAAGATAAAGTATGTTCTCAATGGGGACTCCAGCTGCAAAACATGGCATCACACAATGAAGGGAATGAACAAATAAATCCATTTAGTTAGTATTAAGGTGCCAATGAAATTGAACTGAATTAAAAATTCAAGATCCAGGGTAATGAAATAAAAACAAAAAATGAGAAATTTAGCTTAGTCAGAACCATATTATATAAAAAAAAATAAAAAATGTTTTAAGTGACACTAAAAGAGGACAAACTTAGCCTAGAAAAAGCATTCAAATGCTCCAGGAAATATACAGAGAGAAAAACAGGAAACTTCAGAGTGCAGAAAACTCAAGCAACATAGACCACTGCATTAAGCAAGTAATGAAATAAACATAAATGTATCTTACTCGCTCGATTGATCATTAGAGTGGGAGTTATTATTCGCGGCTCAGGACCCAATTCAGCCTCCACACCCTTTGCCAAGGAAATAATGACAGGAACTGTGATTCTCTCTTTCCAGTACTTGCTAATTTCCTCGAATACCTCACGGGTTTCTGTTGATGGCAAACCATTAATAACAATGTCAGCATCCCAAACAGCCTCCTGCAAGTTTGTCACAACCTTAAGAGGGCAAAGAGGGGTATCAATCATATTCAAGCAAAACCCATCTTTCAAAATCTCATCTGCATGAAGGACCCGATCACCTAATCTTCCCTCAACATATTTCAAATATGCACATCGCCTAATCAGCCTCCTCAGTACATCTTCCCTTGAATTGATAACCTCAAATAAGTGCTTAGCAGTGGCCCTATCAACAGTTCTGCCAGGTCTTCTCCATATCCTAATTAGAACCTTTTCTCTTAAACCACCATAAGCCTCTTGCAACATAGCTGTAAATACACTACCCCAAGCACCAGCTCCAACACCAACTATTCTCAATGGATCACCATCCACTTTCCCCATTAGCTGACGAAGCTCATCAAGCTTCTCTTCTAAACCACCGTTTACATTTTGGAGAGAACCGTTTGAATATGCTTCACTGGTTCCAGACATCTTTGATCCAAATGACACTGACAAAGGCAAGTACAAATGGTGGGAGCTATCAACTAAAGATCTTGAATACCCACAAATCTTAGTTGAAAATCTCATCCAAGCTTCGGCCTTTATAAGAAAATTTTTGCACCCAAACAACCACAATCCTCCAAAACATCAAATTCTAACTAAAACGATCAACCCCACCAATCACATCACATCGAAAAAAAAAAGAAAAAAAAAATCAAGAATTACCAAATTGGTTATACAATAGAACTAAGGAGTACGAAACATGCATAAGAGAAAAACTTCCCAAATCTACAAGTTAGGTAATCTAATCCAAACAAACCATTCAACGACAATGAAAAGCGGAACAAGCAACAAATGTCGGCGGGTATTCCAAAGCATGAAGTTGAACTTCCCGGCCAGTGAATTTTGTCTTGTTGTGCAAATATTCAATCTCGCATCATACCATAAGAATATGAACCCGATTCACTTTAAATTTCCAGCTCTCTGGCTTCTGGATTTGAGTGTAATGGAGCAACCTCAGTCACCTTCGAAGCTTCGATTGCTACGCTGTTTTTGTTCCTATGTGTCGCTTGTGGAAGCGCCGTTTACTATTGTTGAAGTCGTAAGTCCTTATCTCATATTTTTTTCACATAAAAAATTATATATTTTTATTTCTATCACGTTATCTATATATAATAAGAGATAATCATCTTCAACGACATAAAAAAATAAAATCTTATTTGAAAAAAATATTTCTCAAGACTAATCATTTTATTTATTTATTTTTTTATATTAATTTCTCTTTCTTTATCACCATATATATATATATATATATATATATATATATATATATATATATATATATATATATATATATATATATATATATATATATATATATATATATATATATAGTTTTATAAGAGTTATGTTATAGGAAAAGTAATTGTGTAATGCTATAGAGATTCGTTTAGCGTGCCGTAATTTTTTTTTTTTTTCAAAAAGTGTGGGCCCCACAAAATGTTGTGTGTAGGAAATTTTGTTTTTCATGTGAAATGACAAGTGCAAACCCCTATATATATATATATATGGTGGACTTATCACAATGGTAGAAAGATGGACACTAGTGATAAAGGAAGAGAAAGAAAAAAAAAAGAATTATAATCATTCAAATATGAATCAATTAATATAAGAAAATAAATAAACAAAACGACGTAATTTTAGATAATCGAAGATAAAATATCTCAAGCAGCAGCTTGAGAAATATTTTTCAAATATATATAAAGGGTTTTATTTTTCTCTTTTTACATAAGATAGTTATCTTATGTTGTAAAGAAAAAATGGGTGGGTCCCACCATTACACCAAAAAAGAAAGGGAATATATTTTCTTACGCAACAGGAGATATGTTATTTGCACTCACAATTTTATGTGGATCTCATTGCACGGAAAAAGAGAAAAAAATTAAAATAGGACCGATACCTTTTTGAGGGTGTAAGAGAGAGTGTTGTCCCATGTGACATGAGATTAATATTTTCCAAAAAGAAAAAAAAGAAAAAATGTGAGGTACGAAAATCGAAGTGAGAGATTAGGAGAGAAGTTATCTTATGTAAAAGAGTAATATTTCTCTTATATAATATAACAACAAAATTCTTTTATTTATTTGTAAATACTCGTTATTATTTAATGAGATATTAATTAATATATTATGCTAGTCTACTAACTTAATCGTTATTATTTAATGAGATATTAATTAATATATTATGCTAGTCTACTAACTTAACGTAAAGAACGGGTATATGTAGGTCACCAAAATATCAAATAGGATATTCTTAATCCACATTTACAAACACTTTAATATACATTTAGGAAAAAAATTACTCTTATCAACACAAGAGTAGTTTATCTCCAATAAATTCATTGAAAACCGTGACATTTTTTTTTTCTTTTTTGTCTTTTTTTTTTGTAAATTGTGAGTTCCACTACATATGTATCTATATCATGAGAGAAGATCTCTCCTATAACATGAGATTAGATTAACTCATACATTTATACATGTGGCAGAATATACTTATCACTAAAAAAGTTTACAACTTTTACAACCAACCTAATCACCATTAATTTTCGTCAATTTAACGGTTATAATTTATTGAAAATTATTGGGTCGCATTTATAAATTAATTTCCAATAAATTATAACCGTTAGATTGACGGAAATCAATAATAATTAGATTAATTGTAAATGTTGTAAATTTTTTTGATGGTAAGTATATCCTTCTCCTTATACAGTTTATTTTTGGACAGTTATCATTTGAGGTTTTAATGAATCCTTGCACCCTTTTATTTTATGAGTTTATTATTTTTTATATTATAGGTGATAAATTTATTTTCTACATACATAGTAATATATGGGACCATAAGAAATAGACTTAAATGAAAACATTTATATGAAAGAAATGAAGAAATATTTATATAATTTTTTTAAAGAAAAAATATACAATTCAAATTAAAATAGTATACTTGGGCCTTAGGCCCAAAATCAAATTGAATTTGAATATCAACTAGCCCAAAAACCAAGGGGTTATAACCTTGTACGAGTGACAAAGAGAAAAATCAAATAGCAGTTGCGGTTCCTATAACCTTGTACTATTGCTGCTTCTTCAGTTGTCGTTTCAGTTCCACATTAGGTGTATTTACTTCCATTACTCTCCTCAAAATTTAGCTGATACGAAAATCATGTTCATGAATCATGAAATGAATCTAATTTTGATAGGTACGTACACATAAAGGTTCCTTGCATTTAACGTTGTAGCCCTCAACATAATTGCCAAATTATATGAAGTTTCAATAACACTCAGTAGTAAATATCCACATAACAGGACACAAATAGTGGTGAATGGTGATCAAAAATCAAAATCATGTTTGGAGTTCCCCTCAGAAACAGGATTAGTTTCTCAAATATATGTTGGGATTGATTCCAATGGGAATTTGCATTTATTATTGTTTATGCTGCCATTAATGTCTCTGCATTTCAAATGCTATATAAGAAAGTGTTCTTTTATTGATTTTCCCTGGGATGTCTGGAATAACATGAAGTCAAGTTTTTTATTTGTTTTCTGTTATTAGAAGTTAAAGCTCCCTGCACACTGTTGTTGACTTTTAAATCTTGTACAATGTAGTTTCCATGCACTCATCATTGGAATCTACAAATTATTAATTTAACTCATCATAATTTCCATTGGTTGTCTGTCTGATGAGTGGTTTCAAAACCAGAATCCAGAAGCAACTTTCAGTGAGTGATGTGTATTCAAGCGAGTAATAGAAATGGGCTAGAAGCAACTAAATAGTAAATACCATTCCCCCACCTGATTCTGACACGCCACGATGGAATCTTGAACAGTGTGACATATTGCTCTTTTTTCAGCTAACCTTTTGACAGATCTTTTTCTTTTTAGTAATTGGATGGAACAAATATACATCTATAGCCAAATAAGGGAAAGATATACCCCATTCAAAATAGTTGAAAAAATGTGGTGCAACTTTCAATGGATGATGTGTAATAGAAATGATCTAGAAGCAGCTAAATACTATTGACACACTACGATGGAATCTTGAACAGTCACACACTGGCTTGGTTATGGATTGTCGTAGATTAATAATCACCACCTTCCATATATCTGATGCATATCCATTTTTATATCATTTTCCAACAATTTTCTAGAATAATGTTTATTACTCAGCTTTCTTCTACGTCACCTTATATATATATAGGGGCAGGATCCTTTGACACCGGTGTCAAATTTAAAGTTTGACACCTCATCTGAGAGTCGTTAGATCAAAAAAGATCACCGACTCTGATTTGTAAGCACGTGACACCATTGATCTTTTTTGATCTAACGACTCTCAGATGAGGTGTCAAACTTTAGATTTGACACTGGTGTCAAAGGATCCTATCTCATATATATATATATATATATATATATATATATATATATATATATATATATATATATATATATGCATTTTTCGCTAACGTATTGATGAATTTTGCGGTGGATGTATTGATAGATGTATTTATATACTTTTCTTCTTCTTGAATTTGGCTATATTATAGACAAGAGAATAAAATGAAGGAGTACTACAATATTGATATAGACATTCGTTCTAGCACTAAAATAAGTTATTTGGAAACCTTATATAATAATTAAGGAAAAAACTACTCTTATTTAACATAGTTTATCTCCAATAGACCTATCGAAAACTGTGACACCCTTCTTTCTTCTTTTCCTTTTTTTATAAATGATGGGTCCCACAGATATATGTCTACAACATAAGAGATCTTTGAGATTAGATTAACCCAATAATTAATGTCTGAAATATTTGATCCCTTTTGTTGACCTAATTAATCTCAGTTGGACCCTTCTGCCTTAGCGCTACACTCAGCATGTAAGGCAATTTTCGCATCAGTAATGATACATATACAGACAAAATTTGTTTCTAACCTGACAGGCTAGCTTACAATTCTCACCGTTCATCATGTTTTTAATCTTTTTTTTTTTTTTTTTCTTTTGCCCCATTGTTCTCTCTACAATGAGTAGCTCTCCTTCACGTTCTGTATAATGTCTAAACTTGTCTTTGCATATAACATTTTCATTTTTGCTTATGCCATGCCATGATGGACTTTTCTTTTTTCATATTAATAATAAAGGAAGATTATCTATACAAACTCTTATAAATTACACTATATACTTCAGGAATGTACTCTGCGGACTAGATAGTGTAATTTATAAAAGTTTATAAATATAAAGTTTGTAAATATAAACTATCCCTAAATAATAATTATAAAATGTGGAGGAGGATTCACTGGAGTCACGACAAGGTTATTGGTTTTTGAAATATTCGTTGGCCAGGAGCGAGTATTGCCAATGGGTCATAAACATGTTTTCTTTGTTGAAAAGCCTCCCACTTGGGACCAAAATGGACCCGCCAATCTTCTTGTGTATTGTAGTGTGCCAAATATTGCTTTGCTCCAAGATGTGCTCTTTCACAGTATTCTAAAATTCTTTTGTTCTGACTTATTATGTGTTCTAAGCCATTAGTTCCATTGGAAGAGGGAACTGCTGAGGTAAGAAATGCCACTAAGTAGAAAACATCTTCCTCTGGAATAACAACAGAAGTTCTGTTGTCCCACCTGCAAACACAACAACCATGTATACATTATATTATGTCATTTGAATATTGACAGCTAAAAAAGATTGGTTATTAAGAGTTAATGTTTTGTGAACCATTACTTTGATCTGTTCACTGGGTAGATAAGGACGGGGCCATTGCTTGTTTCTGTTAGGATATTCCCGAAGACTACTTCTGCAAAATTGTGTACTTTGCTTTTGGGTATAAAAAGATTGAGCCATGGGTGTGGAACATCCCACAAACCTTTTGAACGCAATTTGACCTCAGATACATGCACCCTATCTAAGAAATCTACATATGTGACTTCTGTTAGAAAAAGGGTTGATGGGATATAGTTCAAATGGGACAAATGTTTCTCAACTTCCTGCATAAAAAAAAGAAAACATTGTTAGAGACAGTTGATTTAGCATTTGTTTTTTTTTTTTTTCCCTTTAAAATTATAACTACATGTTTTAATGAGTTTAACTATCTATTCATAACATCAATCTTAAAATTGGACTTTTTCTCCCATACCTGATTTACTATATCTATTTCTTCAAAGTTGAAGTATTTGGCTAATTCTAGGCAGAAGAGAGTTCTTCCATCCGAGTTGAAATGACTAGCTTGAACTGGGTCTTGTGGATTGAAGGATGATCTCCAGTTATTTAGAAGACCAGTTCTGTTGATTATCACAAATCCTTCAATGTAATCAAATGCATTTTCTGCAGATATTAATTGCTCTTGGTCTCTTGTGAATGTTGTGAAATCTGAATACAACACTCTAATCCATTTTACCTGTTCCAAAAAACATAAATTTTCTGTGATGACAATCGTTGCTGGCATAACACTAGATAAACTTAAAAAGACCTTGTTTTTTTGGTGTAGTCACTGATGCATTACCATGGAAGGTGCTGGTTCCAAGAGAATTCTTGCACGGGTTATAATGCCAAACTGGCCAAGCCCCCCAAGAACGCTGTGAAAGAGTTCCTCATTTTGCTCCTCGGAACAGTTTACCACCTCCCCTGTTCCTGCATTCATTCATATATTATTTTAATACTAAACATTACAATGTCACCAAGGTAAATTTATCAACAGGGAATCTTGGGAAGGAAGCTACTATTTCAGGTTTAAATGAAGTGAATTATTAGTTCATTTTCTTTTCCCTTTGTCCATTTTTTTTTATACAGTGTTCTCATCTGTCATATGGTTTTCACAAGATGGTTTTACAAACCTGTAACAATCTCAAGCTGCTGAACATTACTTATCTGGGGACCATGCCTAAATGCTTGTCCACTAACACCAGCGTTGGAGAGAGTGCCACCAACTGTGAGATGTAGGTAATCTGTCCATGATCTTGGTGTTAACCCATATCTTAGAGTCTCATGCAGGATGTTTATCCACAACTCGCCACCTGAGACATCTACATAAGGAGAATCTCCTGCATATACCTGCATTTCTGGGACCTTGAGTTTTTCCATGTTGATCACAACTCCTCCATGAGCTTGTGCCTGGCCCTGGAGTGAGTGGCCATGGCCTCTGGCTGCAACAGTGAGATGAGAGCTAGGACCCATGTTCCAGATATGCTTTATGGTGGCAGCAATATCAGAAACTGATTCCGGATACAACACTGCCATTGGATGATATTGGTACCTGTTGCCAAAGTCTTTGGCTGCATGGTTAAGGCTAACTTCATCAAAATTGAAATGTCCTTCAAGGGGAAGTGCTTTTAGTGAAGAAGGGATACTTGAAAGACACAAGTTAAGCCGAATGGCTATAAAACTAAGGAACAAGATCGTGAAGCCTCTGAGGAAGTGTTCTCCAATGAGGCTAAGTGGTGTGTATCTCATTTTTCTTTTAGAAGGTATGATGGTAGTTGAAGGAATAGGCAGCTTGATCCTGAAGGCTTTGTTTCTTTTGTGAGCACAAATAAAAGGTGAGTTATGGACAGTGAAGGAACATGAGGTTTGGGCAGAATTTAAAGAAGTTTGTGGGTGACTGAGTCAACCCTTCTGCAGTTATGACTTAGTAGAATGCGTATGAGGATTGCCTACTTGGAAGGAAGAGTTTTAGGATTTTTCTTTTGGGGTAGCTTGTTTAAAAAAGAGAAGCCAAAGCCATCATACAGAAGCCAAGTTGAAGAGGAAAAGTAACAACAAAAGATAGATCTCACAAAATCTTCAACTTTTCCAAACAGTTATGACCACAATTACAACTTAACACGAAGGAAGGACATGTTTAAAGTTTCTGTTCATTTAACCAATTTAAGGATACTTTTCCAAATTTAGAAATAAGTGCTTTCTTTTGGTACATGAGTATTCCTCTTTGCCGCAATTCCTGTTTACCTTACACGTATATTGTGGTGTTGGTACTGAGTCAAGTGTTGTCAGAATGTAAACATCGCGTATCCTGCTCTTAGATTGGATGAGAAGGACTTGCGGGATGCTTTGAATTCATTTAGAGAGGGAGAGATGAAGTTGGTGGGGTATGTTTTGGTCCATGAGACACGTGATGTGTTCATTCTTTTTTGCTTGGTTGGGACTATGGCTATGGCAATTGATTTGTCATGTAGGGACCTCTTGGGCCACTCTTGTAGGCCAAGAATGAAGAAAAGAAAAATGGGATTGCAGTTTTAGAGAAACAAATGAAAGACTGCTACTTACATTTCTGCTAAAGTATGCACAAACTACCACTGAAGTATCAAATCTTTAGTACCAATCTACTGAAAAAGTTTTGAGTGATTCGCCTTTTCTATTTGGGCGGTATTTTTGCTCTGATACTAGTACTACTATGACTTTATCCTTCTCATTGCAACTAGTAACTTGGTCCAATGACAGAAGGGAGTAAGTGGTGAAAGAAAGAGAATTTGGATTTGTTTCTCATCAAATATATTTTTGGGAAGAGGCAATAAGACTAAGTCCCGATTTAGTATTAGTCTCGTAGTCAATTCAAAAAGTTAAAATTTATGGAGATATCAAGTCGATTCGCCTTAAAAAGATAATTAAGATCGTATAAAAAAAATATAACGAGAAATTTTGCAGCTTCATAGAGTGGCATCTTACCCCCAATGGGCAATAGCCTAGAGGTTGCAGCATGCCAGCATCTATATCTCATGTTTTTGAGAAAGATGCATAAACGCAATTATTGATGGTTTTAGTACAGTTTTCTCTTCCTCTTTTTCTCTCCTTAACCCCAGCCTCATATTTTGCCTGTCACCATAATGCTTTCAGAATTTAACTCTTTTAAACTAGAAAGTACATTTTAGAGAGAAAGTATAAAGATGTAACCATTGTGAAACTGTGATAAAATAGAGAGAGGATATTCTTACTTCCAAAATTTTCTACTACCAACTTACTACCTATCTAATCATCATTGGATTAAAGAGAGAGAATGCTAAAAAAAATTTGAAAAAGGAGAAAATGTTGATCCAATGGTGGTTAGATAGGTAGTGAGTTGGTAGTAGAAAATTTTGATAGTAAGAATATCCCTCCTCGATAAAATATGCATACTTGTGTAACAAACTATAAAGTTGTTAAAATCTAATGAAAGGTTATATAACACTCCATTTTCTGCTTTAAAGTACACTTTTATATGAGTTTAATTCTTTATTCTTCTAGAAAACTTGAATACAGGCCCTATTCCATATCATGTATAAAGACCACTCAAATTTATACTCTTCGATCTGATCATACAAAACGTAGCTGGAGTTCTTTCCAATGATTTGAATGCAGCTTAATTCTCAACCTGCTGCTACAGCTTAAATAACCACACTAAAAGTCATACAATACAAGGTTGTCCTCTCTAGTCCACCCTCTAATGGAAATATTGACTTTTCTTATTATATGTACATCATAGCCTATATTAAATTACATAAAAGGATTAAGGGTGCATACACTTGTCTTGGTATTTGACGGCTTCCTTACGGGGAGGGTAGTGGGAGAACTCGTTTTCGTCCGTAGAAAGGATACACGGAATCTATTAAATGATTCAATGGTATGCAAATGACATAATCATGACATGAAAAGCAACACGATAAAAAATTAGGAGACTTATATTTACAAACTCTTACAAATTACACTATGTATCCCGGAAGAACACTAGGTTACACTATGTTCTCCCGGGAGTACGTAATGTAATTTGTAAAAATTTGTAAACAGATCATTCCCTATAAAAAAACACCACCTTTTATTTTTTATTTTTTTTTGAGTTATCAACCCTAATTATTTATTTGAGGGCGAGTTGATTATTCTCGCTATTCTTATAAGCATCGACTCTTTAAGCAAACTATGAGACTAATCCAGAATGCAGGTCAAGATATTTAAATCTTTCATTTTCACTATTTAGCTCTCTTGCTATCAAACGAGCTATCACCATTTGGAAAAAAAACACAACATTTTGAAGGCGATCTCAATGTTCATGCACATGTTCCAATCAAGATCTATTTTTTAAATCGTCTTTGATTGCCATAATATTATATTAAGATTGTTAGAATTTGACTAAAGCACATAATAGTAATGTCTAGTGTGAAAATGTGAACGCAATTGACATAGTCTTCTCATTTGTGGTGGACAACCTAATCCTCTTGATGACTTACTTTTTAGAAGGAAACTGACTATCAATAAAGACAAGAAGAAAAAAAAAAAAAAAAATTATCGTTAGAGTATAGAGTAATTATCATGCGGGAATACTCCATAACACGTATAGTGATAGCCACATCATGGGGCCTCTGGTGCCCCTTGATGCTTAGATTTTGGAGAGCATAGAATCCTCTTTTAGTCAGTGAAAAATCTGAAGAGTTTGAACACTGAAACACTTGTCATGTTTCACACTCAATGGACGGCGAGGAGGAAATCATCTTTTACACTTTCCAATAGGATAAGAGCTCAACAACTACATGCTCGTGGCATTGCTACATAAGATTGCTCTTAACCCTCATGAATCTTCTTGTTATGGGGACTAAATAGTTGTATTGAGAGGGGTCAGTAATCGATTTAGGATGATCAAAACCAGTAGATTATAATATTATTCTTATCGTGTTTCATATCCCACTTTATTACACTTTAATAGATGTCTCATTGTCTCATCCCAAGCATAAGAGAGATTTAAATGTAAATGCTATATCCTTTCTCACCCATTGTTGTCATGATTAAACTTCATCATCATCACCAACATACAATATAAGTCTCTTTCACCGCCAATCGGTGAAAATTAAATTTTTAATTCTCTTTGTAAAAGCTTGAGACACTTATAAGATTAGGACTAAAATTATTGTTCTCCGTGAACAATATATGTGCATTAACATAAATAACAAAAGGGTTGTTTTACTTTGAACAATATCATTTCATAAATAAAAGAAGTCAACACAGTAAATTTTAGAAAATTAATTTTTAATTATGTATTATACACTATATTGATAGGGTTTAAACATTCTTAAAATTCCAAAATAATTAAGATTAAAGCATTATACATTATTAATAACTCGTGTGTGTGTGTGCGAAATTTAATTGTCAAATTAACTCTTCTACACCAGACACAAGATATAATCTAATTCACCTACAAAGGAACTTGCTTCCAGTATTTTCCATTCACCTAAAATAGTAATAATTTCTTTGTTGTTACGATTACGGGAGTTTTGATGACAACAAACTTATATTATATTAAACTTAAATATTGTTAAATGAAGCTTACTAAGCAAGCTCTCATTACTAGACCACTTCATAAGTCAAAGTACTTAATCGATCAGAGCCTTTGCCAACATCACATATACATGGTCATGATTTGGCACCTCACATCCACATCCCTCTTCTGAAATCTCACAATTCACCAAATCCAAGAGATTGTTGATTTGAAATTCAATATATATTTATTACTATGGAGAGATTTTTCATGTTAAAATTTTATATGATTTGATTATATAAAATTTTGTGTTTATTTTTTTTTTCACATGAATTAAATAGATGAAATCCAATTATCATTAATAAAAAAATGAGTTTGCTTTTTCTACAGTTAATATAGATAACTTATCTACATTGAGCTCAAAACGATGTCGTTTTAAGACAAAAATCAAAGTATTTTTGTAATTATAATTTATTTTAGGGATATAATAATCTTTTTTATTATAATTTTTTAATTTTTCAATTCAAAATAACGTCGTTTTAAGAGCAAATATAAATAACTTATCTATATTTATTTTAAAAAATTAAAGGGAAAAAAATACATATGAAAGGATTTTCTCAAAACGAGTGCAACATAAAAGATAATCCCTTTACCAGAGTGTTAACAACTCATGCGCATCAAAATGGTCCCCATTGGGCCATACATTGCGATTCGGCACAAGAGATTACTAGGGAGCATATTTTATTGCATAACCTAGACATCTTAGAATAGATAGCTATGATCTTACATAATTAACATAACTCATTCTTAACATGGCGATCATAGTAAATTGAACTAGGTTAATTAACAACCTAGCTAGCAGCAGCAGCCATAGAGGACACTTTATTTTTTATTTTTTTGGAAACAGAGGACACATTTTGACTTGGATATTGTGTCGGATTAAGGAAAAATTCTTTAGTATTTTCATAGTATTGCTTTATTTTTTTATTAAAAACATAATACATGATACCATATAATGATGAGAAATTATACTCTTATTTATATGAGATTCATCTCTCATGTTACACTCATGTAAAAAAATGTGCTTCTCTTTTCTTTAAATTTTTTCAAAAAAAATTGACGGGCCTTATTTTATTTGTCCCACGACATAAAATAACTTATCTCCTATTACATGAGAAAAGTTAAACCCTATAATTATATATGTTATTAGATTAAAAAATTATCATTTTATTTTATTTTTTTTGGTAAACAAATTATCATTTAATTAAAAAGGCTAGTTTTGCAGAC